TTACCAAAAATAAAGAGCGTATTTCCTGCATTGACCTTAAGTAAATCCAAATAAGACTAAAAATAATTGTATTAATCTGAAGTAACCATTGTTCTTTACTATATACAATCTAAATAGTCTAAATTGTAAACATGGGCACTTAGGAGACATTCTATTTGGGGTTAGGTAGAAGGGAGGTGGATTAAATAAGTGAAGAAATCTTTATTAATTAATAATTAATTCAGTTGTTCACTCATTGATTTTCCCTGAAAAAATAAAAAAGAACAGAGGTTTGGAAATCACCAAAATCAGAACAATAAAATTGAATATGCTTTCTGGAGAAATGAAACTTGGATTAGTAAAATGAAAATGAATGAGGAGGTAATTATCACAATAAAAGGCAATGACTTTGTAAGAAGGACCAAAAGGGTCACAACGAATAGCAAAAGGAATATTTTAGAAGATGTGAAAGGACATCTGCAGGGCCCCAAATCATGTCACCATGGTACACCAGAAGAGAATATGTCTTCCAGGTAATCTGATCCAACCTGCCCACGCTTTACCAATCTCCAGCATTTAGTGTAGCCCAAGGCAAATACAGACAGGACAGTTTGATACTTAAAAGGTTTAAGAGAAGTAGAACTGAATTTGAACTCTCACATCTAGCCTGGCCTAGGGGAAGTCACTAAAACCTGTCATCTCCAGTTTTATTCTTTTAAATGATATTATTATTTTGTTATTACTATCATTTTTTTAAAAGAAGAAGACAATATCTATCTTACATGGTTGTTTTATAGTCAGAGAGATATTATTTACAAACAAAAACTTGAAAGGTTTAATATCTGGAACATAAGAGATACTGAATGATCGATAAAATGTTTCCTTTCTCTATCTAAAAAAAATAATTGCGAGACTCCAATGAGATAATTTTTGTGAACGCACTTAGAATACTACAAAATGTAATATCAGGAGAATAACAATAAGGATCAAGACAAAGGCAACATCAATGTGATGATGATGAGCATTATAGTGTGCTTTCTAGCTTAAAGAATGTTAACTAACATTTTTTTTTTAGTGAAGACACTATAGGAAAAAGTGAAGACAGTATAGAGTGCACAGTGAGAAGCAAATAAATTCTATAACAATTCTATATATCATTTTTTTATTTTTGAAAATGCTAAGAGAGTTAACATTAATTATTTTCCACCACAAACACGGTGACTATATGAAGTAATGCATGTATTAATTAGCTAGATTTTCACATTCCACAATGTACATATACTGGAAAACTTCATATTGTACATGTTAAATATATACACTTTCATGTCCATTTAAAAATAAATAAGATTGAAAAAAACAGCTAAATTCTAAATCTACCTCTATCACTTATATCCTGCTAATTAGGGAGAAAAACTCTTTCTTACAACATGTATTTGTTTTTAGGGACATATTAGTTCATGTATGCAAATTCCTGAAGGAGTTAGCAAGATAGAAGAAGGGCTGAGAAAGTGGGAAACAAATAATGAAAACTCTGCACAACACAAACGTCTTCATAATGACAGAAATCCTGTCAATGTTCTCCTGTCTGCCTAATTGAAGAGATCACATCCCTCTGAAGCTCCCAGCTGCCTTCGGAGGATGTTTCCTTCCCAATCCTATGTCAATATCTTCTTTTTCCAGTCCCCTGCTTTCCTCATGATTGACATTCCAGGGCTAGAGTCCTTTCATAGCTGGATCTCCATCCCCTTCTCCTCCATGTACACTGCGGTCTAAAATGAAAAAGCTACAAGATTCCAGGGAAGAATTTTGAGTGTACTATCTCTAAGAGAAACCCTAAATCAATTATATAATACGGTATTTCTCAAATTCAGGCTGCCCATCCAAAAAGCCAGACACAGTAAAAGAGGATGACCTTCCACATGGATGTGAACTTATCTCAATTTAAGGGAGTCTTAGCTTAACTTCATTAATGGTGTTGATATAAAATAATTTATTACCTTGAATAGATATGACTTAGAGGTCTCATTCAAAATTTTCTGAACTAGAAATGGTTTAATTCTAAAGCTGTACAAAGAGGTCTTGGAACACTGAAGAGAGAATTTTTCTGACCTGAAAATTTATAAAGAACTTCATTTTTTGAGGTGATACTAAAAGAAAAATGGCAATAGGCAATTCAAATAAAGGAAACAGTGCAACGGAGGCTTAAGTGTATGTGAAATCATTAAGAGACAGCAAGTATTATAAAGCAGCTGAATAATATGGTATATGGAAAAACTAGATACATTATATTGGGAAAATAGAATGGGAACAAGTACAAAAGGGAAGACAAACATAATGCTATTCTAAGTATTTGGACTGTATATGGGACTATATAAAAGATACAATAAAAAACCTTTGATGTATTTTAATAAAAGAAGTAAGACAATGAGAGTTGTGTTTGGGAAAACTCTCAAAGCTAAATTAGATTTAGGATTGGTGCAAAATATGTTCAAGGCAAAGATTCCAGTATGAGACTATGGCTATTGCCTGAACAAGAGGTGAGCATCTGGACTAAAGTGTTGGAATAGAGAATTCAATATATGTTTATGAAATATTTCTAGATAAAACCTAAGAACACAAATAATCAAGTGACTTAGAGATTAAGATTTAATGTTACTCAGACTTCTCTAAGACCCACCAAAAGCCCAAGTGACTAAGATGGTAGGGTCAGAGACAAGAGGATCAAAACACAGAAAATGGAGAAGATAAAAGGATATTTGTGTGAAGGGCATATGAGGAAGGTCTTGTGCAGAACATATCCTAACTTTCCAGTCAAATCTCCTAAAAGAGACAGTATCTGCCCCCATCCTAGTTCTTAACTCCAGGCCCTTTCAGGAGACCCCAGCGAGTCTTCATGAAGTAAATCACCATAAGTCTGGTATATAAGTCAGAAGTTTTCTGCTATAATTTTGCTGCTGTTTCGGGTATACAGGGAAGGTGGTGGGTGGTGGTGGTTGTGGTGGTGAATGGGTGTGTATGTGTGCTTAGAGTCACAAAATGGATCCCAAATATAAACAAATACACACAGTTATCAATGTTTATGCAAAAGCATACACACAAAAACAAATATTAAAAATCTGGAATAAACACCCAAATGATAACAATATGGACCTTTTTTAATCTTTAAAAGATTAAAAAGATTAAAGATGATAACTTTATTGAAATTTTTTATATTATAATTTATTTTCTATTTTCAGAGTTTCTAAAATTTTTGTTTAATATGATTACATATTGGTTCCTAATAAGAAAAACATCTGGCTTTCCTCTCTCTTTCATTCTACCTTTTTCTCTCAATCTCAATGTCAGGGTATTTCTGGACAATGGGCTGATCCTCCATGCAGTTTAAAGTGACCAAAGCCTACACTGACCTTAGTTTATACTTCTAGTTCTGTTGGTCACCACTCACTTGCACACAGAATCCATACTGTCCAAAATTTTCATCTTCTGGATTCCTGTTCAACAAGTTTGATATGCTGCCTCTCTGTATCCTTCTACCAGGTAGGCCTCTGTGCTAGCAGTTATCACCAGAAAATTCTGGCTGCCATGGGCCATGATCTCTGTTATGCTGCCTGCCTCTCATACCTCACTTTGGATCTGACTAGTGTACTCTCTGTGGGTGATGATCTCATTCCTGCCCTGTCCATTCTTACTGCAGTGGCCACACCCACACCTTCAAATTCTGCTTCCTCCTGGAAGTTCTGTGCCTGGCTCATGAGGTGGACCACTGGGACCATACCCATGATAATTACATCTGGCAAGGGTTCAGTCTCTATTTCCCTTTCCTGTGATCATGTTATCCAATCACTAATGCTACAAGCTTCCCCTGCAGGGCAGCTCAAAGCCCTGTGGATGTGTGGTGTCCGCTTATATTCTCTCCTCACTTTCTGTGGCTCCATCCCTCACTCAGCCTTTCTTCCTGGTTAGAGGCATGGGTCGCAGGCTCTATTCAGCCTCATGGTACCTTTTGCTCTTGACCACCTGATCTTTGGTAACCATTCCTGCCACTTTGCCACTCCACTGTTAGTTACACTATTTCCCAAATAGTGTATTGTTTGGGGACTCCCCAAATACACACCTGCTTCTATTACACAGGTCCAATGGCAACTGGACCAGGACAATGAGAAAGACCTATGGGATTAAAGCCATGAGTTCTGTTGTCAGGAAATTGCTAAATACAACACTGGAAAATAAAATTAAATACCTCATCTAGAAAATACAAGACTCTGAAAATACTTAATTCGCTATCCTACAGGTCTCTCTAGTAGTTCTTCCACACAATAAGGGATAGGCATAAAAAATCTTTACCCTCATTTAATTCTCTGATCTCCAATGAAAATTAATTTCCCTGTTGACACAATGAGAGTACAAATAATATCATTACCTAAATCAAAAGATTGATAAGAATGTTAAATTGGAAAAAAGTGTCCATATGCTATGAAAACTCTCAGGACAGAGTGTGTCATCTTTCTTAATGCAGGAAAAATGTAGTCTTTTCAAGGCCTTACTTCCAGTCTTCCCCTTAATGACTAGTGCCCAAAAGAAAAGAAATAATGTCTTCTCTGTAGAGGTCATTTTGAAGAAGGTAATACAGGTATATCTCTTTTCCTGAGATCCAATATGGTTGGGAGTTCTGAAAAGGAAGTGGTATTTTAAAGTCAGATTACATCACCTTATTGTATTCTTGTATTTATTTTCCTTTTGCCATGTGGAAGTTTTTGGAAAGTGCTCTTTAGATGTACTGTTCTTATCCCAGAATTCCATGGACCATCCAAAGAAGCAGTTCAGCTTCAGACTGTATGGTAAAATGGAAAGTAATAGCCCTACAACTACAACCAACTTAGAGTCTTAATAAGGGAGAGGAAGGAAAATAATATTTTTAAATGGAGATTGGGAGTATAGGGTCTTGCCAACTTTTCCATATGTATATTCACCAGACAGTTTTATATTTGAAGGATCCGATTTGTATTTATATTAAGGAAAAAAAATGTTTTTTCTTAACACTGTCTTCCAAAATGTTGGCATTCAAATCTGAATCCAAGGACTTTGAATGGAAAAGAAGTTTGTTTACTGACATCTAGGAATTTGAAGTATGTGTGGTCAGGTGGAAAAGACGAAGAATGCGCTGCCGGATCTCCTTTGTCTTCACTCCGTAGACAATGGGGTTGAGCACAGGAGGAACCAGCAGATAGATGTTGGCCATGATGACAGGCAGGAGAGAGTCACGCCGCTTGCTAAAACGGTGCACCATTGACAATCCAATGAAAGGTACATAGAAAATAAATACAGCACACACGTGAGAGACACAAGTACCAAATGCCTTGGCCTGGGCTTCACGTGTCAAACCCAGCACAGTCTTAAGGATGAGCAGATAGGAGAAGGAAATCAGAAGTGAGTCCAGGCCAATGGCAGAGATGATGACAATGAGGCCATAGATAACATTGACCTTGATGTCAGCACAGGCCAGCTTCATGACATCTTGGTGTAGGCAGTAGGAATGGGAAAGGATATTGGAGCGGCAGAAGGGCAGCTGCTTGATGAAGACAGGCAGGGGTGCCATCAGTGCAGCCCCTCGCACCACAGCCGCCATGCCAATCTTGGTGACACGAGGCAATGTGAGCACAGTGGCATGGCGCAGTGGGTGACAGATGGCCATATAGCGGTCAAAGGCCATGGCCAGCAGCACTGTGGACTCCATACCAGATAAGGAGTGAATAGCAAACATTTGTAGCAGACAAGCATCAAACTGGATGGTAGTAGAATTGAACCAGAAGATGGCCATCATTTTGGGCATGGATGAGGTAGAGATGAGGATATCAAGTCCTGAAAGCATGCAAAGAAAGATATACATGGGTTCGTGTAGGCTATGCTCGGTCCATACAATGTAGATGATCATCAAGTTACCTAGCACAGCAATAAGGTAGAGGGAGCACAATGGGAATGCCAACCAGAACTGAGCCTCTTCCAAGCCTGGAAGGCCTATTAGGATGAAATATGTGGCACTAGATTCGCTGCCATTGGAACCCATCATGATGAAGAAGCTGAGTTGTGACCCGTGCCAGGCAGGTAGAAGCTGGAAAGCAAAGATAAGCCATTGTCAGATCCTTCAGAATCCCAGGACCACACCTCACTCCATCCTGATGTCCTATTTTCTAACTCAAACTCTAATTCCACTGCCTATCCAAACTGTGATCCTATTCTAAATTCAATCTAACCATAACTCAAGGACCAGGTATAAATTCACTCTCCTATTACTAACCCCACCTGTATGGGCAATCTTGATAGTATGTGAAATACTAAGACAAAAGTTTTACACATATTTTAAGCCATTTAGTTCTCCAAAGGAAGGCTACTGAGTATCCAAGGGGGACTCCTCCCCAAAAAACGTAATTTGTTTAGTTAAAAACTGTATTTATTCTTACATGTTTAAACTTCATTCACCTTCAAACTGCTCTCCATTTGATGTGATACACCTGATGAGACACTTTTTCTACTGCTCAAAACAGTTTTTGAACTTGTCAATTTCGCTGCCTTTTGGTGCTTCTGTCATTTTTTTGTCTCACCTCTTTCACATGGTCAGTATGTTTCCCTCTGAGAACATTTTTCATCCAGGGAAACAAACAAAAAGTCGCTTGGGATGAGATCAGGTGAATAGGGAGGGTGGAGCACAGTGATCATGATGTTTTTGGTCAAAAACTGCTGAATACTCAGTGTGGTATGGACAGGTACACTCGCAAATTGCCCATCATGAAATGGACAAATATGTTATAAAAAAAAATTCTCCAAAAAAAAAACTTCACTGAAGCTGAACACAACACTTACCTAGTGAGAGAAGCCTATATTACAAAGGGCCCAGCCTCCACAAGATAATTCCAGTTTTGGGGGGTTCCCCCTCATAAATCAGCCTTAGGTTATTTTTTAAATCCCATTACTTCCTCTATCCTAGCCCAGCCTTATGCTTCCCTATGCTTAAGACTAATTGCTATTCTCTCAATAAACTGTCTTTAAGATTAATTCCAGCCCAAATGCAGCAGTACTAGTAGTAATGTAGATTAATATTGAAACTTAACCCCCTCACTAGCCTTAACCCTAACTTTAACAGTAACCTAAGACTGAAACTTAAGAAACATTTCAATCTCAATTGACACTACATTAGCACCAATTTCTTATGATAAGCCTAATATAATAAAAGCTAACACTAAATTAATCTTGAACTCTAACTCTACATTTCTCTCTTGCCCAAATGACCAGCCAGAGTTTTACATTTATTCAGACTACTCTGTTTATATCAGAAAAAGAATGATAGCGATAGTGTTCACAATTGGTGTCCCACCCAGATCCCTTTCACAAAGTCAGTACACCTATCCCCCCTCTGCAGTGGACGTTGAGTGCTAAGGGCTCACAGTTTCCCTTTCTCCACAGAATTGTCCTTGATCAAATGGGAGACCCCCCACCCACTCAAGAGGTCACTCTATGTCCCCACGAGACACATTTAGAGGTCAGTGACTGCCTGACATAAAGGTGCAAAAGGCCAGCCTCCTTGCCCCAGGTGGGACCAACACACTGTGATACAATTCGCATTTCAAAGATTCCTCAAGGAACCAGACTGAGGCTGGTCTTCAGCTGTGACCACAGCATTGCTTGCCTTTCTTTCCCTGCCCTTCCAGGCTTCCCTCTCTCTTCTTCTCATGACAGCACTCCCCCAATATATCATTTGGATAAGAATCTCTACCTCAGGCTCTGCTTCCAGGAAACAGACCCAGCAGCCTAAGAGAGTGTAACTGGCACAATTAAAATACTAACCTTGAGAGAGAATGACATTAGAAGCACTGAAGTAATATCCAACAGCAGAAATCAGGCTATATATGAACTGCAACTGGGGATAAAAGTAATATATTTGAGGAGATATTGCTGAGGTGAGAAATGTCAGACTTGAGTTATTTCAGATAATATCTTTCCGTTAAGAGCTAACTTCCCCACTCCCACCCACTCCCACAAAGAGCTAACTAACTCCCTGCATCTCTTCACACATTCTTGTGCTCTTAAGATGGGTTGGGTATCTTTGGGTCCAGAAGTGTTTCAGGTTTTACATTTTGGGGGTATTCTGGAATATTTGTATTATACTTATCCAGTTCAGCATCCCTAATCTAAAAATCTGAATCTGAAATGCTCCAATGAGCATTTTCTTTGAGCAGCATGTCAGCACTCAAAAAGTTTCAGATTTAGGAACATTTCAGATTTTTTATTTTATATTAGGGATGCTCAACCTGTATTTATCAGATCATGTACACTGTGGTTTTTAAATTGATTTGGCCCTTGAGAGCTTGAGACCTGGGGTAAGGGCTTCCTGCATGGGTTACCAGAAAGCAGTTGGCTATAAGCAGCATCAGGCAGGGGAGGGTCTACCCGGTTGTCTCTAAACACATCAAACCCTCAATGTCCAAAAATTGAACTCTTCCAGCAGTAGTATCGTATAGCCATGAGCTTTGAAACTGATTCTGCATTCATATCCCAGTCAACAACCTCATGAGCTGTGTGATCTGTAGCAAATCATTTTACCTTTCTAAGTCTCAGTCTCCTCTAAAGTGATAATACTAGTCCTTGCCTAATAGAAGTCAATGTAAGGATTAAATGATATATGAAGTATAAATCATTTAATACCTCATACACAGTAAATATACAAAAAAATTACCTGTTGTTGTTAATCACTTTCCTCCAGTATTTCTTTTTTCTGTCATCGTAGCCTGAACAGTCACACAAGCTAGATGCTCTGACCCTAACTGTCATGCCTCTAGGGTAAAACTTCTTCATTCGCACAATCCCTATTAGCCAACTAGATGAAATCAGGTCACTACCATTGCTTTTTAAAAATGCCCTTGAAACTTTACATTGATTCTAGGATAAAGACTAAACTTTTTAGGAGTGGATAAAGGTCTGTCTTGCAGCACTGCGTCCTAGGTTTCTCCCTCACCACTTCTCACCATGGCTTCATGTTCCAGCCACATTGGAATGCATGCTAGTTCATAAATGTAGCATTGATTCCCATGATTCCATGTCTTTTTCTTTTATTTTATTTCAACCGCTTTGAGGAGTATAAATAGTTTTGACCTGGGTTTTAAGTATACCCTTCACCCCCACCTGTGCACACAGTACCCAATAGGTGATTTTTTTCTCCTCCCACCCCTTCCTCATTCCCCTTTGTGAGTCTCCAGCATCCATTATGCCATTCTCTATGTCTTTGCATACCCTTAATTTAGCTCCCACTTATAAGTGAGAACATGCAGAGTTTGGTTCTCTGTGTCTTTCTGTCTTTTTTACTTCTCATTCCTTTGTCAAGAAAAATTGTTACCCCTAGGTCTTCCTCCTTGGCTCCCCACACTCATGTTTCACATCCTGGTTTACCAGTTCTCTCTTATGCTACTTTTTCTGAGCCTCTTTCCCTTGGGTATAATTAAATGTTTCCTACTCTGTGCTCCAAAAAATAATAATAATAATTTATTTCTATGTTTTATGCATTTACTCTCTTGATAGTAATAACTATAATTATTGCTATATTTATGTTCCCTGGATTATGAGCTCCTTAATGCCAGGAAGCTTATTATATTTTTTTACTTAGTGATTAGCTAATGTTTGTTGAAAATGAGAATGACTTTTATAAATAGGAGAATCTCTCAGTAGGCATCTGATGAGGGCAACACAGCCAAGAGGGTAAGTTGGACTGCCAGTTGTCTGAACTATAGAGACTTTTGAGAAGGATAAGAGAATGTTTGTAAGGTCAGTTCAGAGTGATCTTAAGTTCAGAATAAGAATCTTTAAGGTCAAACAGAAAAGCCCTTTCTTGCCCAGGGTTCCAGAGGACATGAGAGGATATACAGAAACAGGAAAGCTGCAATGTCTTAGCAAATGCAAAGTGAACTTGCATAAGTTTGTGTTTGAGAGCTGGGAAGACCTAGGATCCCTCACCTGAAAAAATCAGCAAGAAAGTTCTGATACTCCACAGAGCCAAATATCCATGACATCCAACAATTTGACATGAACAGACATGGTGGAGCAGGGAGATCCCCAGGATAAAAATGAGCTGACTAGGGAAACATATTGGGAAAGAATCATAAATTGGCATATGCAACCCTATTGCCTCTAAAGATAGAGTGATGCTATAAGCAGAATGCTGGGGCTTGTAACTCAAGTCTAGATCTAAATAATTGCAGAAAATAATAATAATTGCATAGTACTGCTGTGAAATTATATGAGATAAAGCATGCTAAAAGGTGTTGCAAAAGCTAAATCACAGAGTACATAGTACCTTTTTTAAAAAATGAGAAACAGCTGGGCTCGGTGGCTCAGCCTGTAATCCCACGCCTTTGGGAGGCTGAGGTGAGTGGATTGCCTGAGTCCGCGGGTTCGAGACCCGCCTGGGCAACTTGGCAAGACCTCATCTCTACAATAAAACAAAAAATTAGCCAGGCATGGTAGCGTGCGCCTGTAGTTCCAGCTACTTGGAAGGCTGAGGCGGAAGGATCGCCGGAGCCCAGCAGGCGAGGCTGCGGTGGCCGGGAGCAGCCACTGCACTCCAGTCTGAGTGACAGAGTGAGACTCCAACTCAAAAAAAAAAAATGAGAAACAAGTTATCTGAAAATGTGCAAAGTTCCCATATACTTTTTAATTCCCCCAATTTGTCACCTTAATCAGCAGTCAGCCTCTATGGTCAGAGTCATACACACACATACTATCAGTCGTTCTTTCACCATAGCAAGACTGGGCACTGATACAAAGATATCAAAAACCAAAAAGATTCAATTGACCTCAAAGGGAGGTACCTGGCAGCACAAAATGAGCTGCCACCACTGGGGGTAAAATATCAGACTGGACCTCAGAAGACTGCAGCAAGAAGGTAATGAAGAAATGGAGAGGGAATCAGTCAGACAGCACAAGTGCCACCTTTGAGATTATCCAGGCCTGAAGTGTCCCAACCTCCTGCAGTCCCTCTAAGAAGCAGGCAGAGGGGCCAGATGACTTTCAGGTGATCGTCCAGCCTGAACAGCTGTTAGCAATTTAGAACTCAGAGATGGTTTGGTGCTCTGGAGGAAACTGGAACTAAACTAGTCTATTTTGAAAATAAAACCATCAAAGAAAAATAAAATAAGAAGACATTTTTTTAAGCCCACACATTGCCTTAATCCCCAGAGACTGGTATAGTTCTGAAATCTGAAAGAGTTGAACTATCTTAGCAAGTCCCAGGAATATTTCTTGGAGAACTATGAAGGACATCTTAGCCCTTTCTCGGGAATGGAGAGGAAGGAGTTCCCGGCTGTACAAAGTGGAAATCCACTTAGAGGCCTTCAATACTCTACTTTTCTTCCCCCTAGACCTTCAGAACTCTGTCTTCTAGTGCCAACTTACCCCACTTACCAGTTCATCCTCACATCTTTCCCCAAAACTCTAAACTCCTTCCTTCTCATATACCCACGGAAAAGCAGTCAGGGAGATAGTCCAGGGGCTTTTAGCCCTATCTTTTAGGACCCAAGAGAACAATGAGGTCACCTTTGATCCTGACTTTGTTGTTTTTATGATATGAACATAGATTATTGAGGGCCTGTGAAACGCCAGACACTATACAGTGCCATTTGTATAAATATCATCTCCCTAACCCAAGAACAGCTCTGCATGATGGGAGTTCTTTGTATCTTCTTGATATTATAGGTGAGAAAACTGAAGCTCCAAGAGATTAAATGACATCCCTAGGGTTTAACAAGTGACTGGTAAAACAGAAACATAACCTAGATTGTCTAATGCCATGGCCTGTTTGCTTTCCCTTATTCTAGACTGCTTTAATTGTACTACGCATTTTGAAAACTAATAAAATCTGTCCAAGGAATAAAAATGCAAGGAATAAAAAGGACTTGATAAATAAGACACCTGGCCCAGGTACATTGTTAGAGGGGACACCAAGAAAGCAATAAAGAGGACTCTCTTGGACCGAGGATTGGTGTACCTGCATCCTCTTCCAGCCCCAAACTGCCCTGGCTATGACATGGGCAGGCCCCACAATGGCGATTAAAAACTTTCCTCTACCAAGAATTTTCTTCTTATGTACTTAGAACCTCTCATCAAACTGCGAAGTAAGTATTATTAATCCCATTTGACAGATAAGAATGGTGAGGGTTAGTTGAGGCCCTTAGTGCCAAATCCATTGCTTTCCAATATGCCAGACTGCTGCCCTTTGCTTCTCCAAGTCTCCTTAAAAATGGAGTTGCAAAAACATGGAATCAACAATGCTGCCCAACGAAACTGGACTGGATAAAAAAAATGTGGTTCATATACACAATGGAATATTATGCAGCCATAAAGAAGGTCAAACATATGAACTTTGCAGCAACTTGGATGGATTTAGAGTCTATCATATCTCAGAAACAAAGAACAGAGTACCACATGTTCTCACTCATAAGTGAACCTTGAACAATTATCATAATACTATAAAAAAGGACTTGGCAGTAGTGGGAATCTGCCAAGGGAGGGGGGGACACAACTCATCAACAAGGATACCTGCATAATGAACATTTGTATACCTAACCCTGAATTGTACCCCACACCTTTAAAATAAAAAAAAAATTTTTTTAAGAATATCTTTCAAAAATAGAAGTTTTAACTTTTAAAAAATCGAGTTGCTTTCTAAGGATGATTTCAGTGAATTCAAAATTAAGAACACATAAATTCAGAGTCCCCTCTTGGTCTCAGGACACCTGGCCAGCTCTCCCCATGTACATTCAGTGTAGAAGAACAAGAAGTGGATTAGTGGTCTCTGTCATTATCAGAGCTAAATACACAGACTATTCCATGCCCAAAGCAATGGTGTAGGGGCCTCTGGTACTACTGCCAGCCTCTGGGAATATTTGGAAGAAAATGTCCTTGGAGAGAAGCCCGGACATACCTGGGAGCTTGTGGCTCCTATTCGCAGAGAGGAAAAGGCAGACTTCAGGGGCAATGCTGTGGCTGCCAAAAACTGTAGAAGCTTGTCACTCAATTCTTGGAGCAAGAGCCCTTTTCTAGCACTTTGTGAAGGTAGTAGCCTCAGAATCACATCCACCCAAATTATCTGAATTCACTGTCCCCCATACCTTGTTTGGATATGGTCAATCAGATGAACACCCACAGGACACTGGACACTCTTTCTAGGATGGGCAAGATGAAATTGGAAAAATGAGCGAGTGCAATTTCTAGCTCCCAAAAGGCAACATGAGGCTCCCACTCCACCCTACTTACTCAAGGTCAGCCTGGCTGCCTAAAAGTACCACAGGTAGAGCTCCAGGTCCCTGCCCCTCCACTTCCCAAGTAGGACCAGGTAAGTGTTCCACAGATTTGCGAAGCTGCATCTAGTCATCCAGTGCCCTTGGGAGCTACTTCAGCAGGGGAAAATGCCTGATGCAGAACTTTGATCAGTGCATTCACTTCTTCAAAAATTATTGATTGACTACTGTGCCAAGCACTGGAGATATACTTCCAGCCCTCCAGGGATAGAGAAATTGAGACAAACACACAGCCATCATGTCTCATTGTGATAAGTGCCAGGACAAGGGTAAGCACAAGGGCCTCAGAAGAAAAGACAACAGTTTATCAAGCTCTTTAGGCGCAGAGGGCTTCCCTGAGGAGGTAACATCTCAGCCATGATTTGTGGGACCAGTTGCAGTTAAACAGGTAGTGAGGGGGCAGTAAGGACAGCAACATGCAGCTAGATAAGAACATATTGAGTGTCAAAATCATAGATAAAGCAGACAAGGCCAGTGCTTTCATAAAGCTCACATATTAGGAGGGCAATAACAAAAAGTTTATAAGCAAGAAGGATGATAAGTACACTAAAGACAAGACAGAGTGACAGGACAGAGGAAGACAGGGACAGGGCATTTGTATTTTGAGACAGGTCAGAGAAAGCATCTCTGAGGACATGACACATAAGCTATGTGATGAGAAAATGCCAGCCATTCTAAGATCTAAGGAAAGTGCATTCCAAGCATGGCAACAGCAAGATAAAAATGTCTTCAGGCAATAATAAGTTTGAGGGATTCGTGGAACAGAAAGAAGGTTATGGTGGCTGAAACATCAAGAGCAGAGGAAAGTTTTAGAAGATGAGATCAGAGGAGTGCCAGATCATGTAACAGTGGCTTGCAGGCCATGGCAAAGAGCTTTGGTTTCATTCTGAGTGACTTGGGGAAATATAAGCAACAGACCTGATCTAAGTTGTTTTTAAAAGTGCACTCAGGGCTGGACATGGTGGCTCATGCCTATAATTCTAGCACTTTGGGAGGCCAAGGCAGGAGGATCACTTGAGCCAAGGTGTTCGATACCAGCCTGGGCAACATAGCAAGACCCAACTCTATTTTAAAAAATAAGATAAAATGAAATTTAAAAGTACACTCAGGCAAAGGCAAAGACCCAGAGAGAAAGGAAACAGACCTTGTTTGGAAGGCTGCAAGTGATTTAGTGTGGCTGGAGTGGAGAACAAGGCAGGGAAGGTTGTTGTGTGGATGCCAATCTACTTTTTAAATGGTCTGAAGATTGAATCCTGCTCCTAAGCACCAACTGGACCAGGAGCAGAGCCTCAGGAAGATTACTGAGTCCCAATATCAGCTACAACCTGACTCCTGAAGCACAGTATAAAATGATCCCCAATCCCACTCAGAGCCCCTGCCTCAACCCTAGCTGCTGCCTGCCTGATCCCCAACCAGAGGTTGAGTTTTAACCACACTAACAACCTGGGTACCAGTCCCTGTCCACACACCAAACTCCAATCCAGCCCCAGTCTATCACCAACCCAGTCTGTTGTCTGTCCCCATTCACATTCATTCATGTCAGCCCCTGCCAGCCTCGAGATGGGCACCCCAGTAAACTAGTCACTGAAAAATTTGCTTGAAAACTACCCTTAGGCAGCATCTAATATCCATGTGCATTCCTTTAACACAGAAACACAGACACAGCTAAGGCTTCCCTCGCATCCCCCATGTCTGAGTCTTCAAAGCCTGGCTTCTTGTTCACTCAGCAGGTCTAATGGTGGTTCCCTAGCTACAAGTAACCCACACACCTGGAAATGCCCCCAGTCTCCTGCACTCACCTCAACTGCACTGAAGGAACGTGTGCCCCCTTTGATCCAGTCTTCCTCCTGAAGACGCCTGGCAGGCTGCACTGAAGTCCAGCCCCTCTGTCTCCGCCTCCTCCCTTGGACCTCCCTGGTCAGGATTATTTATTCTCTGCCTTACCTCCTCCCTCTTTCTGTTTCTTCCTGCAAGGGGGCAGAGTGCTGTCCAGAGGGCCCATCAGCAGATACCCCTCACTCGCCCATTGCGGTTTTGGTTTCCTTCTCTGTGCCCTGGGATGAAATGCCTAGGAAGTACAGGGGACGAGGGGCAGTGGGTACAAGGGTCTCCAGAGTCCCCTCAAAGTGGGCCTGTTCCCGCTGGGATGCTTATGCCAGCTCCATTGTGAAACTAGATAGGGAAATGGATATGAAAAGACTAGAAGAATCTCACTTGTGTGAGGGTCTTGGTGAGGGTCTTTCTCCAAATTACTTCACAGGGTTTTCAAACTCAGACAGAGGAAAGGCAGAGTAAATTTGCAAGGAGATCCCACAATTGAGTGTCAGTCCGTTCCCACCCTGAAGTTTCCTTTCTCCCCTGCTTTCGGTACTTTGGTAGACCCTGCTTATGTCTTTATTGAGTTTGGAACCCAGTGGGCCCATCCTCCCTTCCCCAAATCCCTAGAGCTCCATCTTCTTTGTCTCCCAGGCTCTGGTATCTGTGTCTGGCTAACTCATAATGGAGGTCCCCAGGGACAGTGCCTCTGCCTTCTACTCCCTGGCCTTGGGTTACTGAACTTCCAGCTAAGGAAGGAGGACGTGATTTCTTTAACCCTCCCCTGCACCAGCCATATAAGACCAATACCATCTGCTTTCTCTCTTAAGGGCAAAAATAGTGAGAGACTATTTTAGAGAGTTACAGAATAATCTGCATGTGAAACTAAATGCCTTGCATTTTGTAATAAGTAAAAACTATGTCTATTAATAAAACAACGTCATGTTTAGTTGATTTCTGCTTATATTTTACTGATCTGTTTCACAACTGTTAAGTTTTCAATTCCCAACACAGGACTTGCTAACTCAAGCTATACAAAAATAGACAATGGCAAATCAGAGCATTCTAACTCAGATCATATCAAAGATATGATTACAAGAACTTCTGGTGCCTGTAGAACCTGCAGCCTGCGACTTGCTGTTATCATCCCAGAGTCACTTCTGTGGCCTCTGGTAAACTCTCATAGAATTAGATGGTGCAAAAACATTTTAAACTATACCCAAGGGACTTCGACTTCCAATCCAATGAAGTAAGAGGAAGTAGCATCCCTCTGGGAGGGAAAAAGTGGACAATGTACATCGAACAATGGCTTGCAAAACCCTGGACATCAGACACCGAAGGCCAGGGAGACATAGACAAGGTGTTCAATGAAGTTCCCAGCTTATTGCTGTAAGGCAGTCACCATGCGGCAGCACAGGGAGGGAAAGCTGGTTAACTTTCCCTCTGCCTTTCTTCCCCGGAGGGGTTAGCAGAAACTCCCTACAATCAAGGCCTTCATACATGGTTAGCAGACCAGCAAGAAAAGGAAGGGAGAGGGGAGGACATTGTGACTTGCTACTGAGACAGGAGGGCGGGGCTTTAAGGAGGCCAGTGCCTCAGTTAAAGCAGGCAAGGAAGGTGAGAAGATGTGACAAAAACACTTGACATTCTGTGGTGAGGAAGAAGAAAGTGAAGTCTTGCCTGTGAGAAAGCTGAAGGAGGAAACACTGTGTTTCATTTCACTCCCAGAGACTGAGACATAACCCCAGGCTGGGCCCAGGCCAAGAAACTGCACCTCTACTTTGGGATTTATTTCTGCTACTCACAGCCATACTTCCTCCACCCCCAGATACATACAGACACCATCCATCAATCAGTATCCAGAAACAGAGATGCCATATAATCCACACCCAATACACAAAGGAAGTTTGCTCTAAAACATATACACCAGACATATGCCTTAAAATACAATCGTCATAAATAATGCATGCGTGCACACACACACACACACACACAATTTAGACATCACATTCCACCTACATTTAACTAAAGACATTTATATACCACACAAAATGATTTCATATTACAAATACTATGCATGATATACATATGCACAAAGATAAACACTGCACACCTTAAAAGGTACAGCCATCCCAATGCTATACATTCCACATGCTCATGCACCACATTCAATATATTACACAAACGAAGAAAAGGTAGAGTCATTTTCACCAGTTACACATAAGGATACTGTCTGCCATACAGCTACAGATATCAGCATTCTCATATGGATGCATATCACGTACCAACTAACAGACACCACTTAAGCACAATAAATGTACAGCCAGAAACATTACTCATTATTCATAAAACACTCAGAAAACATACACATGCCAGGACATAGCTACCACATTCACCAAGACACAGCCAGCACATATTCCATGTGTTCTCTCTCTCTCTCTTTCTATCTCTCTCTCTCTCCTGTCTCTCTTTCTCTCTCTCTCTCACACACACACACACACACACACACACACACACACACACACACACACACAAAAGAACATATATTCACATAAACATACACACACACTCACACCCACAACCAGAGTACACAGTGTCCTTATGGACAAATCATCTCCACTGAGCCACACAGATACACATTTGCAGATTTCACATAAACACACACACACATGCACACAGAAACTTAAACACTTCATGTGAGCTATCTCTCTCCAATTACTATTCATTCAACTTATTTACCCCTAATCATGATTGTGTGATCACTTTAGAGTATGAGCCATAAGGTTACAACCAACACAGATTTACCAACATGAACACATGGAGGCAAGAACAATTAAGATTGTATTTCAAGACTGGAGTGAATCACTGAGGTATGACAGTTTTCTCGTGTCAAAACAATGTGTATTTTCTAGTTGGAAGAGAACGAGAAGGTGAGGTCATAATACAACAGAGACTGGGGCAATCATTCTCTAAGATGGCCTACGAAGACAGAGTCATAAGTTCTGTATTGACACATTCCTGGAGGCAAAACACAAGATCTCTGTAGGTCACTGGAAGCAGATAGCCCTTTGGGTTTGATGCTCCAATCACAAAGACATTCTTATCTTTGGTCATAATGAGGACGCTGAGGTGGGTATCCTTCTCACCTACCTTGTTGTAAGAACATGTAGAGGACCCTTGAACGGATCTCCTTGGTCTTGGCTCCATAGACAAGGGGGTTGACCACAGGAGGTAGCAGCAGATAGATATTAGCCATAACCACATGGAGCAGAGAGGTGGAACCCCCCAGCCTGTGTACCACTGAGAGCCCAATAAGGGGCACATAGAAGACCAGGACAGCACAGAGGTGGGAGACACAGGTGTTGAGGGCCTTGAGTGCTGCCCCCCGAGAGGACAGTCCCAACACAGCCCGCAGAATGAGGACATAGGAGACGCCAATGAAAAGGGAGTCCACACCCATGACTGAGAGGATAATGAAGAGTCCGTAAACTACATTGACCGTGGTGTCAATACAAGACAGCTTCATAATATCTTGGTGCAGACAGAAGGAGTGTGTGACAGTATGTGTTCGGCAGAATGACAACCGCTTCAGAATGAAAGGCAGTGGGAAGAAGAATACAAAACCCCTGGTCAGGGCGGCTAGCCCAATCTTGGCCACAGCAGGCCCTGTGAGCACAGAAGCATGGTGCAATGGGTGGCAGATGGCCACAAAGCGGTCAAAAGCCATGGCCAGCAGGACAGCTGACTCCATGGCTGAGAGAGCATGGATAAGGAACATCTGGGCCAGGCAAATGTTGAACTCAATCTTCTGGATGCCTGTCAGGAAAAGACTGGCCATCTTGGGCATGGTGGTGGAGGAGAGGACTAAGTCAATGGTGGAAAGCATGGCCAGGAAGAGGTACATGGGCTCATGCAGATGCCTTTCCACACGAATGATGAAGACAATGGCCAGGTTGCCCAGGGTGGCCAAGGCATACATAAAACACAATGGGAAAGCCAGCCAGAAGTGTATGTTAGGCCCCAGGCCAGGGATGCCCACCAGAAGGAAATACACTGGGTGGGCCAGAGTTCCATTTGGAGTGGCCATGACAGGAACCAAGAGCCGGGACCTCTGCATCCCAAATCCAGGATCTAGGAAAGGGAAAATAGAAACATCATTAAGTCATGGAGGAAGAGAAAGGGTTTATAAAGAAAAGGCATTGGAGCAGTGATGGTAGCAAACAGGAGGACTATGTACTTCTAGTAATTCTGAACCCTAGCCTCTCTCTGCTCTGATTCTCCTGAAATGCAACTCCCTGGTCACTCTGAGCCTTGCCCTGACCCTCCAAGGCCCCAGTACTGCACAAGCAGAGTGTATTACTTTCCCACCAATCTCTATGTGTAAAGGCCCACTCATAAAACATGAAAAACAATCCTTCGTCGTCAGAGCTGATGTAGCTGACCAGGCACTGCTCTTGGCTACTCTCCAACAGAGTAGCCAGGATTGCTCAGAACCATCCAAACTGACCGCAGCTCTTCTGGTATACACTGGGGTTAGGGTGGGTTTGGATTCAGAGTTAGAGGTTCAGTCTGTGACTTCCTTTACGAGCCGCTATAATCTGATTTAGGGCCGAAAGCAAGGATTGCAGACTGGGATGAGATTTCAACAGAGAGGTTTCTATACAGGCCTGAGTAGTATTTTTTTTCAAATTTCCCTGATAGAATCCTCTGAGGTAGTTGAAAATACCATCCCCTAAGTCCTACTCCAAGCCCAGAGAATCAGAATTTCCTAGGGAGGGACCTGGAAATCTATTTTAAAAACAGTAAGTGCCGGGCTCGGTGGCTCAGCCTGTAATCCCGCGCCTTTGGGAGGCTGAGGTGAGTGGTGCCTGAGCCTGCGGGTTCGAGACCCGCCTGGGCAGCGAGACCTCATCTCTACAACAAATCAAAAAATCAGCCGGGCATGGTAGTGCATGCCTGTAATTCCAGCTACTTGGAAGGCTGAGGCGGAAGGATCTCTGGAGCCCAGTAGGTCAAGGCTGCGGTGGCCGGGAGCAGCCACTGCACTCCAGTCTGGATGACAGAGTGAGACTCCAACTCAAAAAAAAAAAAACAGTAAGTGCCTCTCCCCTAGATATTTTTTCTACTTGGGAAAATTTGGGGAAAGCTGTTCTGGTGTTCTGCAGGGTGGTAAGGCAGGGATAAAGAGGGACTATTATTTCCAGTCCCCAAACAAAAAATACAACAGAATCTGCCCTCAGGACTTCTCAGGGCCTACCTGAGAGTCAGTTCCAGATTTGCTTGGCTGAACTGTGACAAGGAAACCAGAGGCAGCTGAGCCATGAAAGGAAAACCAGTCAGTGCTGCTGCCGTGACTCAGGCTCACCAGTGTCCACAGGCTCACCCCTTCCTCCACCTGCTCTCCCTGGTGGTTGCACAATGCCCCAAGCTCAATTTCTTTCACTATACAGACCATGTTATTCAAAGCCTCTGTCCTAAGAGCCAGCCATATAACCTACTGCCCCCTTGACAGTTCAACTGCATAGCCTATGGGCCTCACACTCATCTTGCCCCAAAGAGAACCCCTTCCTGGTCTGTGCCTTCCCTCTGTTCCTGATCTCAGAGAATTCTGCCCTCTAGCGCCATGTCATCCAAGCCAGGACAGCAGAGGACTCTGCTGCTCTTTCACCCCCTTGTGTAATTCTGCTTTTCCAATTTTTTTTTTTTGAGTTGGAGTCTCACTCTGTCACCCAGACTGGAGTGCAGTGGC